GTGGTAGGGGTAGGGGCATATACAGGGGTAGGGGTAGTAGTATGAGGGTAGGTGCGCATGGGTGTACAAGGGTTGGGGATATACGGAAGGTGAAGGGCTGCAATGGATCTCCCCTAGTTTTTTTGACAGGAGAAAATCCATGCACAGGGTCTATCTTAAACTTTAGAGGAGATCTGCGCGCGGCACGCATGCTTGATATGCTGCTAGTGAGGACCATGGTTCGATCAAGCCCTGACATGCAAATTCCCCTAAAAATGAGATTATGCAACCATTATGAAACTACATATGTATATATACACTTATATAGACCCTCAACCCTGCAAAGTAGAAAGCCCTGAGCTAGAGTCGAGCCATCAATCTTGGAGCCCTCACTCAAAAAGAACCAGTATACCTTGAACGCGCAATCCGGTAAGATGCCCCAACCCCCGAACCCCGTAACCCTAAACCCCATAAACCCTGTGTGCAAAATCGGGTCAGTTGAGTGACAGCTGTGAGCTGAAACCTTCCACGCTTCCCTCGCAATAAACATTATCAATCTCCTCCTGGATATCATCGCACTCCGTGATGCAGGCATTCATTTTCTCAATCAGCCTGGGCATGGCATGGGTTTAGGGTGACGTAGGGTTTATATTGGCTTTATAGGGTTTAGGATTTATGAAGGGTGTATATATAGGGTTTATACAGGATTCAGGGTTAGGAGCACCTACATAGGCCATTCTTGCGGGGTGTATATACACAGGCCTCAGAGTAAGGGTTAGGGAGCAAGGAGAGGTATGCAAAAGATAGATAGATAGATAGAGAGAGAGAAAGAGAGAAGAGAGCTGCAAGAGAGGGAGAGGGTGTATAAGGTTCAATTGAGCTTGGTACAGAGCATCATGCCGGGAAAACTGAATCGCACATGCAATGATAAGAAAATGAGGCTATGGCTTCTTGATATTCTCGGACCGCTCTGCCACAGGAATGGTATTTAGCTTGCCCACAATCTCTGCCGTTTTGGTAGATCGTGTACTCAAGGCCTTTGTGAACAACTGGGCCATATCCTGCGGCTTTTTGCCTTCGAGAACCGGCAGGCCTAGCTCCTGCTCGATAGATGCCGCCACACTTCCTCAGATGGCAGCTGCAGTGTAGAAGAGTTCCACTCACTCTGCTCGATTGCGTCTAAGGCTTGCCTGAAATTAAGTCTAGTTTCCACCTGCAGCTTGCTCCCCGACAGAATCAAAGTCAGTGAAATCAAACTTTGGCTCCATACCAAGTGTGACCTCATTACCTTCGGCTGGAATTTCCTGCTCATAGCTTACCATCTCGGATTGGCGCAGGAGCTGGGACTGATTCATGCTTGCGGAAATTTTGCGCTCCACCCAGTATTTCATGGGCTTGTTCTTGTTGTACGTGTCAGCCTAGGCAGTTCATAAACAGTCTGTGTCTATAGAGCTGCACTGTTTCAAAGAATGGTTTTTGCAGCTACAGGACTCGGCGAAACGAGGTAGGGTTGCGGTCACCGAAGGCCACCACATCCTTGATGTCGCTCCTCATGGTTCTTGCACAGAGAAAAGGTAGAGAACGCAAGAACAGGAAAGAGTGTGTGAGAGAGAGAGAGAGAGACAGGGAAATAGGGGGAGCAGCAGCTGCAAACAACAGTGGATTTCCATTACAGGGCAGGTGCAGTATTGGAAGGCAAGATACTCAGTCATGCGGAGAACATCCTTCATTTCCTGGATGGTGTAAAAATCACCGGTGATATCCAGAGAAATCTTTTTCTCACGCTCGGTGATCACATGGACTTCCTTCAGGAACATCTCCTAGAGGGGCATCGGGCATCCTATAATGAGTTCTCTAATGCAAACAATTTGAAGTAGTACAAGCCCTATGGACCGCACACGTGTATAGACCCTGTATAGACTCCAAAACCCACAGCAAAATGAACAAGCCCAAAAATGCTATGAAGCTTATAAACTCTCTTCAAGCTCTGCGTAAACCTAATCTAGACCCCCTATGTAGCCTGCAAAAATATATATATATACACATACATAGATGTATGGGCGATAAAGGTTATGTAGCCATCCATACTGGCTATGTATAAACCTATTATAGACCCCCTATATATGGGCGTATACATATTCATCTACTCTACACCAACCCACCATAGCCCTCTAGATGCCTGAAACCCGATGAACTGTAGAAGTCCTTGTTAAAACCGCTTTTGATCAGCAGTTTGAGGAGCCCTTCTCTCTCGGATCCCCCAGCGGCGTATTTCTTGTGCACTTCTTCCGGCACAGCTAAGGTTCCATTGGCTCGCCTGCGGCACATTCTGCGCAGCCGCTGTCGGGCAGCTGGGGTAGCAATTGCTTCATCACCATCTTCCGTAGCATTGGCCTCGTCAGCCATCCTCTGCGGAGTCCTAGGCCCTTCCTTCAACTTAGCAACCTCTGCTTGTGTATCCAGAAGCTGAACCTGTAGCTTCTCAATCAAACGAGCTTGCTGAAGAATGACATTCTGCAGGCTGGACGAAGAGGGTGCATCGGATGGGTTCGCAGGCGATGTAGTCTATGGCAAAGTATCAGATGTTAAGGCATTGGGTGGGCTAGGGTATTATGCTCATACTGCTAAAGAAACAAAAAGCAACTAAATGCATGGGCCTCTGGCATAGAGCTTGAGGAGTAAGGGTCATCAGAAGCAGCGACATAGGGGGAAGGGCTATCCGCCAGGATCGTGGCCGGGGTGGCAGCAGTACTCTTGTTTAGCTTTCCAGCCGGGGTATGCACAATCTGGGTTGCTTCAACTTGGCTAGAATCTACAGCATCCTTGGTAGGGGTCTCATTCAGCCTTCGCGGGCACAAGGGCGACATTCCTAGCTTCATTGGGGACAGGGTTGGGCTCACCTTCAGTGGCGAGGGCACCCCAACTTGCTGCCCAAGCTTAGACTGCAAGGCTAGCATCAACACCTCATCATTTCCTAGAAGCTTTTCCTCGCACTGGGCCAGCTGAGGGGCCGTTGGCGCGGGGCAATTACCTTCTGTGCAATGTCGCTTCTTGGCTGGTCGAGGGGTCGGGCTGGGCTTTCCTACAGGGGTGCTCATCTCCGCACGCTTGGGATTGCCTCCCTGATTCTCTTCAGCAAGGGCCGCCTGGACCTCTTCCTCCAGCTTAGCCTCCAAGGCCTTCACGCAATCTTAGTTAGATCTAGATAGCCTTTTGCACCCTCTGAATCTTCGAAAGGGTTTGTGAAAGGAAAATCTTTGCAGGGCTTGGATTTCTGGTTCAGGGTTCATGGAATGGTTTACAAATGTTGTGGGAGAAGAGCACATGGATTTATTCAGGCAATCTATGCGCAGCATCCACCCCGAATGTTTTCAGAAGTCAAGAAGTATATATACTACTGTCCAATACATTTAGAAAACAAAAGAAGCCCACCCAGAGAAGTCTATACACCCCGGCCTGAATATCTCGATCAATCAGCTCCTCTTTGACTTGCTGCTTGTCCACTAGGGCAAGACCCTCTATCAAAGTGCCCGAGCTGAAGGCTCGAGATTCGAGATGCCTGGGTGGCACTGGCGCGGACATTGCGATGCCTGGCAAGGGCACGGGGGTCGCGCAGGCTGCAAATACGAATGACTAGCGCTGTATAGAGCCAAGTGATGTGGATTGTGTCGGAATGTCATGGTCGAAGGGCTGCATGCTTCCACACTGGCTGCTTAATTGTAGAGCTCACCACAATCAGGCAAAACAGAGTGCAGCTGTTACAGAAAGACGCTTGTTTCGGGACATGTGCAATGTCCGTAATCCTATAGGCATGCTTCTGCGAGAACACACTGGACAGCACCTCAAACGCACACCTTGCTTTAATTGAATTTCCTCGGTAGCCATATACACACATGCACTCATGCCCAGAGGCCTGTCCAGCTCGGATGATGCAAGCATCGAATTGTAGATTGCAATTGCGAAATTATGCCACTCGTTGCTAGAACATCACCAAGGAAGCTTGTTTATTTGAAAGGATACCTCCAGAGACGCTGCTAGAATGAAGAGTACATATATACAAATAGTTTTTAGATTCTTGCTAGCTTCCCCAATGCGATTTCAAAGTATCCTAGGCTTTCCTTGGGATAATGCAACGGTAGGCTACATAAACAAAATATGGGCCAGCTCCAGTTAAATCCACTCCCTCTCCACCCCGCTGAATGTTCATGTTTCCGGGGGTAGATTGAAATCGACGAATGAGTGCCGCCTCTACAAACCCAACGCTCACTGGATCAGGAAGTATCACCAACACCTTCAGCTGCTGCCACTTCTGGCGAGAATCTTGGCTGTAGCCCTTCAGCCACCGTGCCACAGGATTGCAGGTAATGCCAACTTTGAACACAGCTGGGTATTTGCTGGAGAGTGAGTTGATCGTCAGCTCGCAGTGGTCTAAGATTGCGGAGGGTATGGAAGCATCAGTAATGTCAAATGCGATATGGTTTCCTGCAAAACCAGTTCTTTCCAGATCAGGCACAACTTCCATCGCCATTCTTGAGAGGGCACTTATGCAATCTGGCACCATAGAAAGCCAGTACCAAGGATCAACCTGTTGCTTGCGAGCCATGTGGGGCTTCTTGACCGTAAGTTCAGGTAGCGGTACAACAGGTAGGGTAGCCACTTTCAAGCGGATGTGCAGATCATTGTTCTGGTTGCGAAGCATTTCAATCTCTTTCTCTAGGTTCTTAATCTTGGCCTCACAGCAACAGGCAGATGGCCTGGAAGCAAGCCAATCTTCATGGCTAAGCTCCTCATCGGTCTCCCAAAGAAAGGACCCAAGACTCCGCAAGCGCTTTCTATGGCCATGGTGTGCAAACCCTTCCAGAAATCCCATCCTACTGCCCTGTACAGAAACTGAATCTACACTGATAGTCAGAAGCCAGACCCCGTATATGATTTTCCAAGGCTGACCAAAACTTAACTGGTGGGCAATTAGTTGGAGCTACATGTAGATTAAAGGATCTATATAAAGATAAGTATATGGGTTTGGGCTTTCTAGGGATCTTTAAGGTTCTATATAAGCTATAGGTGTGTATAAAGAAAGATATATACCCATATATATATTTATATACACATACCCTGGGGTACCTATATACACAGGTCTTGAGGTTGCTAGGAATTCTTCAGCCCAAAATAACAACCAGAACACATGGCCTACATTGATAATCTACAGGCAGCATGGGTACAGAAAGGTTGACCAGGGTAGCACAAGTTCTACAGAGCCAGGCCAGCTGCAGAGTGATCTCAGACAGGTTTTCAGATGTCTAGTTTAAATCCACAGGCATGGGCAGGACATATGTGCGGGTGTGTGTAGACGCACGGAATGCATTTCGAAGTGCACATAGGGATCTGACTGCATGTAGGGGTGCATGGGAGCGCACAGGGCGCAGGCAAGTGCTCACTGGGGCAAACTGGCACACGCAGGGG